GGAGGAGGAGGAGGAGGAGGAGGAGGAGGGGGACGAGGAGGAGGAGAGGGTTAGGAACAGGACAGGAGGGAGGGTGGGGAGGGGGGAGGAGGAGAGGAGGGGGAGGAGGAGGAAAAAAAGGGAGGACGAAGATGAACTTGCTTTTCGCTTGCGTACGCCTCAGAGTGACGACGTACGCACGCGCATATCGCTTCTGCAGCGATGCGTACATGCAGTTTTTTGGGTGCGTCTATGAAGTGTCCCTCTCTGACCATTAATGTTTGGGTGTGGCCATTATGGTGCCCACCAGGTTTTCTGTGTGACCTCTACTGTGCCGTCCGCTTGCCCTATCGGAGACTATGTTTTCGACCTCGTTTGCCTTGATATTATTGGCCCCAAGCGAACGCGGCCACCACAGTGGTCACGTTGTGGGCGTCTTCGTGGTGACCGCAGAGGTCGCCGGGTGCGCGAACCGCGAGACGAATCGTTCGGTGCTCACGGGTGCTCGGTGTTCACAGGTGCTCGATATTTCTTGCCGCCCCCCCTTGTGCAGGGAGGTCGGACCAAGGTCAGCTCTGTGTCAGCCAGTCAACAAGACACTTAAGACCCGATCCCGTCAGAGTGCTTTTTGACAGTAGTATCCACCCGATCGACCTGATGTCATGATGGCGAGCGGGAATCAGATCGAAGATGGGGGAAACATACTAGAGCTCTAACGAATTGTTAAGTTTTGAGAGCATGATTTTAAACTGACCAAAAAAGACATAACTTCCGCTCGCCCCGCATCTGAATCGCTCGCGACTGTGGCGCCCAAGGCTTGTGAGCCGGCTGGTCCCGTGGCGGCGTCGTGGTTCGGCTGAGCCCTGCTTGCTGGGGTCGGGCCGAAAGTCGGCGCAGTTCTGCTTTGAATATGCTTGCGGATGATGCGTGCGTGTGCCAGCCTTATGTCTGTCGCGAGCGTGAAACCGTTGCCTTGGACGCGACGCGACGGCAGCGCGAGCGACGCAGCGCTCGCCCTGCCAATGGACGAAATCCCGTTAGAACATTGACTTCGTGAGCACCTCTGTGTGGCGCACCGCCCTTTCCCGCGGTCGGGGTTTGCGAGACTTGCGCGCGCGGCCGACGCGCGCGAGTGGCCCGCGTGGTGTTCTCGTTGAGAATGATCGCCCCCCCCAGCACCCGCGCAACGGCTTTCGGCTGATTTCGACATGCGCGCGCGAGGGGCCCGCGCGCGAAGAGGCCCGTGCGAGAGGCCCGAGTGCGCTGCTTCATTGCATCAAAGAAAGAAGAAAACTTGTTATTGGAACGCCATTGTTTTTTGTTTGCACATGTTCTCGTGAACCCTGATCGTAAAATCCTGACAGCATCCCGGGTTTTGACGGAGTTCGACATGCGCGCGACGACGTGCGCGTGTGGATTTGTTTCTTGTTTTGCAGGGACATGTTGCAACCTTCTTTTTTGATGCGTGAGTTTGCGCGCAGAGAATTGTGTGACAGGGGTGATGGAAGGGATTGGAGAGGGGGGCTGCCAGGGGCGACGTGATTTCGTGTTTGAAATGCACGATGTGGTGGAGTCACGTGTGATTTAGAGTGTCTCCGAGGGGGCAGTAATTCGGGGGGGGCGGGTAGAGCTATTCTTTTGAAAGAAAGGTACTGCGGGGCGGCGAGGGGCGGCGACGGCGACAACGGGGCGTCAGATCTGACAAACGAGCACAGGCGACGGGTGGCGACGAGGCAGCGACGGGGCGGCGACGGCGGCAACAGCGCGGCGTATGCCACAAACGATCCCAGACGACGGGCGGTGACGAGGCGGCGACGGGGCGGCGACGCCAACATCAACGCGGCGGACCCGACAAACGAGCCCAGTTCGTTAGAAACAAGTAAGAATCCCGCCTAAAAGGGGAAGTCGGCCCGTGGGGCCAATGCCACGCCAGCGGTGATGGGGGTCGGTTGAACGATGCCCCACCTTCCGTGTTGCAGTGGGCGCTTGGGTCTCGTGCGTTCGGGTTGTGGATCGTATCCGCCCCACGGGGGCTTGCCAGCTGCCGCGCGGTAGTGCTCAGAGGGCGCGCGTTGGCGGTGGGTGCGAAAGTGACAGAGTCAGAGGCAACATCGTACACACAACATCGAGGCGTTTTAGCAATCCCACGTGATCCTGCCCTCCCCCCCTCCCCCCTCCCCGCCTCCCCTCCCTTCCGTCTCCTCTTCTCCCGCCTTCGCTCTTTCTCTCTCTCTCTCCCCCCCTCCCTCCCTCCCTCTTTCCCTCCATCCTTCCCTCCTTCCCCTCCCTCCCTCCCTCCCCCCTCGTTATCGTCGTCCTCTCCTTCGACGTCCGTGGATGTTGTCCCTGGTTTCCCCACTCCCCCTTCGTTGCCGTCGTTCCATAGCGCCTCGCCTCCCCCCCCCCACACAGAGGCTGGGCCATCGTATTGGGCGTAGCCTCGTTCGTCCTGGTCTGCATGTGGGTGACAGAGCTCGTCTCTGGGAACGTTACGAAGCTCGACCGCGGCTTCAACGACCGCGGCCAGATGTGTGGGGTCGACGTCCCAGGAAAACCGTACGTGTTCTGGTGCTCAGACGAGTCGGGAAAGGGGATGGACTGGAACCACCCGATCTGCACGGCGGAGTGCCCCAAGGCGGGCTTCTCCACCGCTCGTCCCTTCCCTCCCCGTCGGCGGACGGCTTCCGATTCGAGCGCCCAGTTGCCCTCGCGCACCCGAGCTAGGCGGGATCGTTTCGTCAAGCTCGGGAAACAAGCTTAGGCCAAATTATTGTCGGGCGAAGTTGGCACTTCTAGATGCTTCGCGTACCCCTGCCAGCCCATCCAGAAACGATACCCAAGCGAGTTGCCCTGATCACGGACGTGGAGGAGCATGCGGTGGACTAGCGGGCAAGGGAAGCCGTCATACGCCAACAGGTGAAGGATGGAAGAGGATGGAGGATGGAGGAGGAGGAGGAGCAGCAGGAGGAGGAGGAGGAGCAGGAGGAGGAGGAGGAGGAGGAGGAGGAGGGGGAGGAGGAGGAGCAGTGTAAACCCAAGACTCATCAACGCTGTTGCAATACACCCTTCCTCCAAACTCCCTCTTCATAGGCTCATCTAAGGATCTATCTTTACTGCGGGAAGAGCCATGTCGGAAAACCACATTCTGAAAATCTTCAGCCGTGTCACAGCACCATTCCTGGGACTTCAACGCCGCGAATCAACGTTGCTGCGACCAGACGATCCTAACTCGTGCCAGAACACCATTTCTGGGACGCCAACACCGCGAGTCAGCGTGACTGTCGCGCCCTGGCTCAAAAACCGTGCCAAAACACAGTATCAGGGACGCCAACCATAAGAACGCTTCTGATATTCTTGCAAACTGTACGACAAATGCGCGCGGCGCTGAGGCGAGAGCTACATTTGAAACAGAGCCGCCCTCCATATGTGAAACTCTTGCAAACTTTTACGACGAACGTGCGCCGCGCTAAGGCGAGAGCCACATTTTAACAACTGCCCGCCATCCATCCGTGATACTTTTGCGCATGTCAAGCTTTAGGATCAGACGTGGTGAGGAAGCCTTCGACGAAACGCCCGGCCCGCCCTACCGACCCGTCTTGGGGTGCGACAGGGAGAAGTTATTTATAAGGACGAGGGGTGTAGGAGGAGGAGGCGGTGGAGGAGGACGAGGAGGAGGAGGAGGAGGAGGAGGGGGGAGGAGGAGGGGGAGCAGGAGGAGGAGAGGAGGAGGATGAGGAGGACAACATCAACGAATAATACTAATAACAATAATAATGATAATAATAACAATAATAAGAAGAGGAATACGAAAAAGACGAATCCTGATAGTAACAAGAATAATAGTAATACTACGACGAATATTAAGATTCATAATGTTAAGAATAGTAGCACGAATACATCAAGAGTACGAACGATTCATTTCAATAATCATGCGAATGGTAATTATACTAAGAATAACAATACGATGACGAATACTAAGAATAATAACAATACTACTAGTCGGATTAAAAAAGAGTTCGACCAATAATACTAGTATAAGACGAAGAAGACAAATACTACGAACACGACTACTAATACTACTAGCACGACACATAATACGAAACCTTACAAGAACGTTCATATTACTAATAATAATACTAGTAACCAGACGACGAGTAGCAATCACGAACGAGCACTACTAATCAGAATATTAATGCAACTATTAAGAATACTATTACGAAGGCAACGCATAATAACTACACATATTCGTAATACTCAGAATGCGAACGACAACGCGAATGCTAATACTATTAATTCGAATAGGAATAGTGATACGATAGGAAGACTAATACGAATCATAAGAACAAGCATACTACTACTACTACTACTACTGCTACTACTACTACTACTACTACTACTACTACTACTACCACTACTACCACTACTACTACTGCTGCTGCTGCTGCTGCTACTACTACTACTATAACAACAACAACTACTACTACTGCTACTGCTACTACTACTACTACCACTCGTAACAATATCACTAATACTAAGGCTTACTATTCATAATCTTAAGAAGAAGACTAATAATCATAATACTAATACTAATAAGAAGAAGAGGAGGAGGACGAGGAGGAGGAGGAGGAGGAGGAGGGGGAGGAGGAAAGGGGGAGTGGGAGTGGGAGCGGGAATGGGGGGAAAAGGGAGCAGGGAGGAGGATAAGGAGGAACAGGCGGTGGAGGAGGAGCAGGCGGAGGAGGATGAGAGGGGTGGCGAGCAGACTGACCAGAGGCCTCTTGGATGCCTCTCGGAGTCTTTTCGGATGCCCCTTGAGAGCGTCTCGGAGCCTCCTGGGGCGTTTTGCGAGCTTCTTGGCCAACCTGGGGGCCTCCTGGAGCGTCTTCGGTGCCTCGGGGGAGCCTCTGGGGGCCACTTCGGGGTTTCTTGGGAGCCTCTTGGGGCCCTCTTGGGGGCTTCTTGGGGCCTTCTGGGCGCCTCTTGGGGCCCTCTAGGCAGCCTTGGGGGCAATCTTTGGGCCATCTTGGAGGAGGTCGATGGAACAAGGGAGGTATTCAATTACCCCAGGAGGCCAACATGGGCCCATCACCTAAGTAATATCACTCATGTATGTCTTTTCGTCGAGGCCATCTTGGACGCTCCAACGACCCGCCGCCCCCCCTCCAGGTCCAGGGGGACGGGGGAGGGTGAGGGGTCAAGCTGCCCTCCTAGATACCAGTCCGTCTAGCTTACTCCCACCCGCCCTCCCAACACATAATTACGTAACACCTGAGTGTCAGCAGAAAGCCTAGGAACGCCGCACATGCCATGCATCCCACGGGTTCCAGGCGTGCACCAGGCACCGTGGAGGCCCAAGCGTGCCAAGTGCGGCACATGCTCCACGTGCGCCAACTGTGCCACGTGCTCCAGCCGCGCCAGGTGCGGGAACCAACAGGGACCCCAGGTGCCTGGGGCCCTGACCCCAAGGACTTCAGGATCTTGACTACCCCTGAAGCGAACTGCCGATAATTCTGTGAGAAGGGCAGCTCCTCCAGGGAGCGCAAAGCACTGACACCGATGGACAAGTTGTGATATCTTGAGGAGTCTTGAAACAGATGGGAGCTCAGAGAAAAGAGGGCCCTGCGCATGTTCCAGATCTGAAGCCAACTTGTATTTTGTAGTGTTTTGTTGACAGGGGTGGTTGGCCTGCGCGCAGCAAGCAAGATGCGCCCCCCCGCCGTCACTGTCAAAAACCAGTGCAAAGTGTCGTGGGGCGCCCGTGCATGCTCCACATTTGGAGGCAAAGTGCATTGTGTATTCTTTTTCACGAGGGATGGTGGGGGTGTTCTCATTAGTGCAGGTTGGCTGCCAGTCGCCTGGGGGAGGGGGTGTATTAATACGGAACAGTGATCAGTTCTCCCCGAAGAGGAAGAAGGGGGGCTGGAACAAGGAACGTCCTGAACCACTCACGCCCGAAAGGGCTGGTGGGATTTCATAGCACTCCTCTTTGCCGCTGTTCTCGTTCTCACCGAAGATCGTCCGACGGCGAGCGGCCGCTGCCGCCTCCTCTCTGTCCTCCGTGGACTCTCACAGAAGCCGTTCCTGCATTCAGCCCCATGCCGGACATAGCCAGGACCCAGTTTAAGGGGAGCCGGTCAGTGACTGGGCCCCGAAGCCCAAAATATGGGTTGGAATCGCTCAGCCAGGTCTACTGTAGCTGGTGTTCTGATTAGTGGAATGGGGCGTTGGGGCGTCCCCCAGTACACATCACTGAACCAGATCCAACTCAATCCAGTCCTGCCAACGCCCGACCATGGCCCCAAATTTCAATGTTTGCGCGAGAGCTGTGGGTCCTTCCTGGTTTTCCCTCGGAAAATGCAGGCCGCGTTGCGCACGTCGTCCAGCATTGAGACTGGGGGGCCGGCGGGGTTGGAAGGGATGATTCGTTCTGGCTTAGGACAGCACCACGGACCACGAGTGTTTCGACCACAATCTTAATGCCACCGTCTATGTCCCGGACTACCCGACGGTCCTGATCATGAGCACGTGCGTGCCGTCGGAGCGCAGTCTGGAGGCGTTCGCCCTCGACCAGATCGAGGCTGCCAAAGTGCTGCTGTTCTTCACCGAAGTCAGGTGAGCGGGATGGAGGCGAGCGAGGTGCAGAGGCTGAGGAGGGGAGTTGTAGAAGGAAGGAGGAGGAGGAAGAGGAGGAGGAGGAGGAGGAGGAGGAGGAGGAGGAGGAGGAGGAGGAATAGGAGGAACTCTAGGCGAGCCTGGTTCGTTCTGCTGGTCAACACCCTGCTCACGATTGCCGTGGGCTACGCTTTTCTCGCGGTCCTGGACAGGGATGCGAAGTCGAGCCTCCAGGCGTGTATTGTTACATGCATAACACTGCCTACGTTGCTTGGGGTGTGGTTCCTCGTCAGGTCCCGCGGCAGTGTCCACGACGCCGAGGTGACGGAGGACGAGTTCTACGCGAACCTTCGGTGGGGCTTTGGAACCCTGGGGGTCGCCGCCCTGCTAGGCTGCTTCAGCTCCTGCGCCTGCAGGGACCTCCACAAGTCGCTGCACTGCATCGAGGCTACCTGCGAGTGCATTTTTGGCCAGCCCACCATCATGCTCACTCCACTCATCGCTTTCGGGTCGATGCTAACGCTGGGCCTGTTCATGCTGATTGGCTTCCTGTATTTGCTGTCGGCTGGGGACATGAGGCTGGGCCAAGCCCACGGCGTGTCCGAGAAGACCGTGACTTACTCGGAGGAGCAGTGGTGGGCCATGGTCTTCTGGATTTTCATGACAATTTGGCTGTTGGAGACGATCCATGCCATGTCGCAGTACGTGCTCGCCTGGTCTGCTCAGCTTTGGTACTACACTCCCACCGATGCGGAGTCCGAGACGAAACTCGATCTGCCGACATGCTGTATCTTTCGGGCATACAACAACGCCATCAAATACCACATAGGTACCCTGGCGTTCGGCGGCTTTGTGATCGGGCTCCTTCGTATTCCGCGCCTGTTATTCGACTTTCTTACGTACGCCGCCGCAAGCCCAGCGGGCGAGACAATCATGAAGGTCTGCGGCTGCCTGATCAGGCTGAACAACAAATTCCTGCAGCCGTGCGCCGGGGAATCCCAAGAGTCGAAGGGACAGCCCATACCACCGGGAGTGGCCGTGAGATTTGACGTCTTCACTTCTCAGGGGCAACGATCGGGGGGTTATGCGTAGGGGGGATGCATCGATCCCCAATCGCTCAGTGATCGCCGATAGGGGCCCGATAGCCCCAGCCTGGCCTGGAGCGTGCGGATTCAGGATCGAGGGCCTCTCGGCGATCTGTCGGCGATGTACCCCCTCCTGTGCCAGTCTCCCCCCATCGTTGCCCCCCCCCCCCCCCCTCCACCTCCCCCTCGCCCTCACGGGTCTGGCAGCCCTCGGCGCCCCAGAGACGGCCTCCTCGGGAGGCGCTCCCCGCACGCGCGCGCGGGACGTCGTCGGCGCTCACTCGCTTGCTCCTCGTTCCCTTTTCCCAGGCTCCTCGACGTCGTGGAATCGCGTCCAGGCGTCGTCAAGTCGTTCGGGCGGCCCGACCTGCCGGCCCCAACCTTCGTACGTGCGAGATCTTTTTGTTCTCTCTCTCTCTCTCTCGAGCGGGGTCGCTACGGGAGCGCCCTGGGGGCCTAACCTGGACTGAAAAGCCCCCAGGAGACATGTTCCGGATCCTCCTGCGATACGGGGCGTGACCTGGGGGGGGGGTGCAGGGGGTGAGGGGGCCAGTCACGTTGCGATCCGCGCCGTCGCCTTCTGGGAGTGCCTAGGAAGGCTGATTCCCGCACGGTGCCGGCGCAAGTCGTGACATGACCAGGGGGGAGGGGAGGGGCCAGGCACGGGCGTTGTATCGCAAATAGTATGCAGCAGGCGCCAGTCCCCTCGCTCCCCAAAAGTCAGCCCGTGAGTCTCTCCCGGGTGGCCATTTTGACTCGGGGTGGGCCCCGCCGTGGCGACGACGGTGCCCCAAGAGGCCCAAAACGGAGTGGAGTTGCAGTTTTTTTCATTCGAACGCATAACAGGCGTTATGTGGCCTCTAGCCCACCCACCAGCCCAGTAGATAACAAATCGCCCGCCGCCCCACGCATCCCCGTTGCAGCAGTGCCTGTTGCTTAGCGCACAGGTGCGCTCTTCGTGATGCGCGCGCAACGTGTTTGCAGTGTGCGTAAGTAGGCATGTGCTCGTGGTATGTAGAGGCGCGTGGCGCGCGTTGGCTGTTGTTGCACCCACAGGCGCGGCGGCGCACTCAGCATTGGAAGAAGAAGAAGAAGAAACAGTTCGATGTGCATAGCCCACACGCTGGCTGCGGCGGCAGTCGTGGTGCGCACAGGCGTGGAAGTGTTTAGCATTGTAGTATACACAGATATTGTTGTGCGCGCAGGCTGCGGTGGTAGGGGCCGTGCCCGCGGCCACAAAAAACAATAAGCACAAACAAATGCATATTGAATTTGATACGTTCGGGCTGGCCATGGTTGATTGTAATTTGATACCGTCGGGCACCTAGAGGTGTACACGGGCTTGGTGGTGTACGCAGGCGCTGTGATGTACATGCTGGCGGCGTGCACAGGCACAGGGGCGCATTCGTGCCGACGTGAGTGGCGTGGGTTACCAAGTAAAACCCTATACATGTGAACACCCCTCTCAGATTCGCCCCCCCCCCCCCCACCCCACCCAGTGCAACGCCCGATCAAGAAAATTGCGTTTTTTTTGCCAAATGTTGACGCCGACAGAGCTGGGCATTGGGTGGTCCAGACGAAGGCTGCGCAAACAGGCGGCCGCGTGTCTCTCCAGCGCTCGGTCCTCATACTTCGTGCGGCCAGGCGCGCCGGCTACCCGCATGTGCTTCCAGCGAGCCGTCTTGTCCTCTCCGAGGAATCTTCCTGCCATGTTGTCTGAGTTAGTTCAGGGGTGCATGGTGAGGCATAACCTTGCAATTTCACGACATTCGGCGCGTGCGATCACCCATGTGCCAGCGCGGGCCTTTGAACTGAGCGAGTGTGTGTGTGTGTGTGTGTGTGTGTGTGTGTGCGAGAGAAGCGTTTTTTGGCTCAAGCAGCTTTCATTGCTCAAGTGTTCGGTGACTGTGGTAGGAGGACGAGGAGGAGGAGGAAGGAAGAGGAGGAGGAGGAGAAGGAGGACGAAGACGAATAATAAGAGGAGGAAGGGGAAGGAGGGGAAGAAGGAGGAGTTGGGAGGACTTGGGAGTTGGGAGGAGGAGAAGGAGGGGGAGGAGGAGGAGGAGGAGGAGGAGCAGGAGGAGGAGGAGGAGGAGGAGGAGGAGCAGTTGCAGTTGCAGTTGCAGTTGGAGTTGTTGGAGTTGGAGGGGGATGAGGAGGAGGAAGAGGAGGGGGAGGAAGATGATGATGATGATGATGATGAGGAGGAGGAGGAAAAGGAGGGGGAGGAGCAGGAGGAGAAGGAGGAGGTGGAGCAGGATGAGGAGGAGGAGGAGGAGGAGGAGGAGAAGGAGGAGGAGCACGATCACGAGCACAAGCACGACGAGGAGGACGATCATGACGACAGGCAGATGCGGGGGGCAATGCGGGGAAGGGAGGGAGTGAGCCTCTTGGGCCCCTTTTTGGGCGCGCTCTGGGGTCTTATTTTGGACCTTGGGGGTTTCATTGGCGCCTCTTGGGTTTTCCTGGGGGCGTCTTCGGGCGGAAGGCTCGAACTGTCAGTTGGTGCTCCCCCTCTTAGGAGCCCCTTGGGCAGTTTTGGGCGTTTTTTCGGCCGTCTGGGGGTTGTTTAGAGCCGCGAGTGAGCTTTTTCGGGGGCCTCTTGGGCCAGGGCCTTCTCGGACGAAGCCGCGGTCAAATTGAACTCGAGACGCTAAGGGTTCCCCACTGGAGGAGTCTTCGTCGCCGCGGCCGCGCGAAGCTCGAGAAACTTGCCAAAATGGTATCCATGCGGCCAAAAACAGAACGCAAACATCACAAAACACGTACGTATTCAATTTGATACGTTCGCGCCCGCCCCCACGAAAACGAGATTCGATTTATGGAGTTCGTCGGAGTCCTCGAAGTGTACACGGGCTCCATGGTGTGCATGTACATTGTGGTACGCAGAGGCACCAGTCGCCGCGCTGCGCGCTGCTGCTGTGGTGTGAGCGCGGATCGTGCTATTCACAGGCGTTGTGGCGCACGCGGAACGTGCTTGTGTGGCCGAAGCTGCGTTGTGCAAAGGCGTTGTGGTGTACGCGTCCACAGTTGTGTGCGCAGGCGTTGTGGTGCACAGGAGCAGTGTCATGCACCCATGCGTTGCGGTATACACAGGCGATGTGGTGCATGCGCATGTTTCTGCACCACCATGTACGGTGCGAGCGGGCATTGCGGTGTCAACGCGCCTTGTGGCGATCGCAGCTGCTAGGCTCTTTCGTTACTTCGGCACCAACAAAAGCAACTGGGGCGGTGCTTTCAGACAAAAACATTCGAGCGGCTGGGCACAATTGCGTCATGTTATGTTCCAGCGAACCCACCCACTCACCCACCCAACCCACCCACCCAACCACATAACGCGCGTTATGTGGTTTCTAAAAACACGGGGACTTGTGAAGACATTCCGCAACCATGATCCTCGATCATTGAGGTGCCGCCCACCCCCCGAGGTACAGCAAGGCCGCCTACATGGATGTCGCGATCACGACCTCGAATTTCTGCACCGCCGCAGGGCGAGCGCAGGAGGTTCTCTGGGAGGAGCCAGGGCAGCCAGAAGCCTGCAGTGCTGGCGGAAGGTGGGGGAGGGCAGACCAGCCTCGAGGGGGACTACGGTCCTCGCTCCCTCGGGGGACCCATCGGCGTCGACACCGCTCTCGAGAGATCGTCGACACAGTTGGTTCCCCCCAGTGGGGGTCAGGAACACAGACCTCTCCTCTTGTCGCCCTCCCTTCTCCCTTCCTCGCTCTCTCCTCCTCCCTCGATGCCTCGATGATGCCTCGATGATGCGGGCAGGTCTGTCCGTCCCGAGGACTGGAGCTCTGTTCTCCTTTCTTCCCTCCCTCCCTCCCTCCCTTCCTCCGGGGGAGGGGGCAGGATGGAGGAGGAGGAGGAGGAGGAGGAGGAGGAGGAGGAGGAGGAGGAGCAGAAGGAGGAGGAAGGGGAGGAGGAGGAGAAGGAGGAGGATCGATAGCCACTGGTTAAAGCAGCAATGCGACGGCGGATGAGGACGAGGACATTTGGATGTGTCCTCGGAGGGGTTCGGTGAGTCTTGGAGGGCTCTGGGGTCCTCGAGGTGTCTTCAGCAGCTGCGCCCCGTCGACGGTCCTCTGGGGGATCACCCCAAGTGCCCCGGTAGCTTGAGTCAGGGCCCAAAGCCCGACTCAAGCTACCATTGAGGGGGAGGAGGAGGGGGAGGAGGAGGAGGAGGGGGAGGAGGAGAAGGGGGAGGACAAGCTAGGTGCGCTCGCGTCATATCTGACATCCTACCCGTCCCTCCCATCCCTTACCATGGCGCAGATCCCCTCTCTACTCGCACAGTCGGATGTCGAGCAGGGCAATGATCCCGAAAGGGTACGCGATTCATTGTAGAGCACGGCATGGCATGGCGTAGAAGAGCACCGCAAAGCATAGTATCAACCTAACATTGCATTGCACGCCGTGGCATGGCACGGGAAATGACGCCAGCGCTGCAGCGGGAGCACGAGTCGAAACGAGCGGAAGCGCGGAAATGAGGCCAGCGCTGCAGCGGGAGCACGATTCGGAACGAGCGGAAGCACGGAAATGAGGCCAGCGCTGCAGTGGGAGCACGATTCGGAACGAGCGGGGCCCGAAAATGAGGCCGGCGCCTCAGCGAGAGCATCATTTTGAAAAAAATGCAGGCGAAAACCCAACTCCGGGGAAACCTGTGTGTAAAAAACAATACGCAGGGGGGGTCGGACATTTTCAGGCCGCCTTCGGGGGAAGAGGGAGAGTAGTATTCATATTGAGTAATTGGAGGAGGGGGAGGAGGAGGAGGAGGAGCAGGAGGAGGAGGAGGAGGAGGAGGAGGACGAGGAGGAGCAGGGGGCAGCAGTGATTGGTTTTTGGCCCCCCCGCCGAGCACTCGCCGCCACGGCTGGGTCCGCCGCGAGAGCCTGGTCAGGACGGGCTCCAAGGTAGGTCCGGGAGAGGACGTTGCTCCATGCGTCGCGAGTGAGCCGCGACGCGGTTTATCTCACGATTGCGGCGCTGGAGGCTCCGGGACATCACGGCGTTGGAGGTCTGGGGCTGGTGTTTTGGCCCCTCGAGGGCCAGGGGTCCACTCGAAGCAGGCAGGCGTGCCCTTGCCATGCTTGATCGGGGGCGGCCAAGAGGGGGGTGACGACCGGGGGGGAGGGGGGTTCGTGGCAGGGGCCATGATATCTCTCCAGATTTCATGGCGCCTCTTCTGATTTCAAGGCGTCACCGCCCCCCCTCCTTGGGCCGCGCACATGCCGCTGGCCTTGATTTGCGCTCCCCCCTCTTCGACGCCCCCCTCTTGGCGACCACGATGAGAGCAGCAGCCGGTCGCACGTCGACTCAGCCGTGTTTGGTTGTTTGTTCTGCCTCGCCAGGTGCTGGGCTCACGTGCCTCAAGGCCGTCTGGTGACAGGGTGGCCCGATGACATCGAAAGCCCGTAGATGTCACAAGATGCTGCACGCACATGCGCCGTCACAGCTTCGGGATGACGTCCACTTTCGTTTCGGAAGGGTCTCGAGGTTCCTTGGGTCCTTCCACTCGCTCCTCTTCGTGCGCTGCTCCTGCGTCTGGGCGCGGCCAACATATAGGATCCCGGGGGCCACCGGCGTCGGGTGCGTCCCGGGGCCCAACGCCCCCCCCCCCCAAGACGGGTTGGGGGAGAGGACGGCAACGACGGCGACGACGACTACGACGATGACGGAAGAAGATGAGAGAAGACGACGGAAGTCGACGACGACGATGACGGAAGATGACAAAAGACGACAGTCTTCTGTCGATGTCGACGATGACGACGACAGAAGACGACCGCGACGGAATACGACGACAGACGACGACTACGACGACGATCACGACGATCACGACGACGACGATGACGACGACGACGCGGCGCCATCCCCCCACATTCACAGGGTGAGGGTGGGGCGCGTCCTGCCACGCCACGCCCACAGGGGAGGGGGACCCACTGCGCTGGGGGAGCGGGGAGCCCGAAGGTATCAGTAAGAGGGGGGGTGAGGGGCAGAGCCACGCGTCCCACACCGACACACACACACACACGCATACATTTACATATCCATATACATGTACATATACACACATATCGGAGGTGAGGGCGTGAGATCGAAGTGGAATGGAGAGCCCCCCTACCGGGAAATCGGTTTCGGTTTCGTGTTCGTGCGTGCTGTGCGTGCGGGCGAGGCGAAGCTGCGTGGGCGGGCGAGAAATAAGTCTCCTGTAGCTGAGGCGCGGCTGGACCAAAAGTCTCCCTTCCAGCAACCGGTGCCCCGCGGTGTCCCGCCGGAGTCCCGCTCGGGGGCCGGTGGCGCGGTGTCCCGCCGGTGTCCCGCCGGTGTCCCGTCGGTGTCCCGTCGGTGTCCAGATGATGATAATGATGATGATGATGATGATGATGATGATGATGATGATGATGATGATGGTGATGGTGATGGTGATGGTGATGGTGATGGTGATGTTGATGGTGATGATGATGATGATAATGTTGATGATGTTGACGATGATGAAGATGATGATGATGATGATGATGATGATGATGATGATGATGATATTGATGATGTTGACGATGATGATGATGATGATGATGATGATGATGATGATGATGGCAATGGTGGTGATGATGGTGTCCCGATGATGATACTGATGATGATGATGTTGATGATGTTGACGATGATGATGCTGATGCTGATGATGCTGATGATGATGATGATGATGATGGCAATGGTGGTGATGATGATGGTGTCCCGATGATGCTGATGATGATGATGATGATGTTGACGATGTTGATGATGGTGGTGGTGATGGTGGTGATGATGATGGTGCCCCGATGATGATGTTGATGATGATGATGCTGTTGCTGATGATGATGATGATGATGATGGGGCCCCGACGATGATGATGATGGTCCTGATGATGTTGATGATGATCATATGATCTGATGATGATGATGATGAAGATGATGATGATGATGATGATGATGATGGTGTCCCGATGATGATGATGATGATGATGATGATGATGATGATGATGATGATGATGATGATGATGATGATGAGGTTGATGATCATGATGTTGATGATGGTGATGATGATGATGATGATGATGATGGTGTCCCGATGATGATCATGATGATGATGATGACGATGAGGGTGTCCCGATGATGATGATGATGATGATGATGATGATGATGATGATGATGATGATGATGATGATGATGATGGTGAGGATGATGATGAGGTGATGATGATGATGATGATGATGATGATGATGATGATGATTTTGTTGATGGTGCCCCAATGATGGTGATGATGCTGATGTTGATGATTATGATGATGATGATGATGATGGTGTCCCGATGATGTTGCTGATGATGATGATGATGATGATGATGGTGATGATGATGGTGACGATGATGATGGTGTTTTGATGATGATGATGTTGATGAGGTTGCTAATGATGATGATGATGATGATGATGATGATGATGATGATGATGATGATGATGATCGTGGTTTTGTTCCCGATGATGCAAGACTGTCGCAATGATGATGATTGATGTATGATGATTATGATGATGAGGATGATGGATGATGCTGTCGATGATGATGATGTGATGATGATGTTGATGTTATGAAATGTGTTGATGGATGATGTGTTGATGGATGATGAGATGATGATGATGGTGGTTGGGTCGTATTGGTGGTGGTGGTGGTGGTGGTGGTGGTGGTCCGATGGTGATGATGATGATGATGATGATGATGATGATGATGATGACGATGGTGTCCCGATGATGATGTTGATGAGGATGGCCCTTGGCCCATTTACACCTTGTCCCCCGTTCCGATGATGTTGATGATCATGATGATGATGATGATGATGATGATGATGATGATGATGATGATGATGATGATGATGATGATGATGATGATGATGTTTATTTGTGTGACCCTTGGCCCATTTACACATCTCACCTTCGAGGCTTTCTCGGGAGCCTCCGTGCCTTCCAAGAACCCCCCCTCGGCTTCTGGAAGGGCGCCAGCCGCCAAGCGCCTGCCATCAGGGTTCGCGGGGTCTCTACACAGCTGGGGTGTCTGGGCGCCCCCTTGCAAGCATCGGTGGGTCTGACGAAAGGGGGGATTGGACTTTCTCCCAGATGGGGTCCAAGTGGAACCCCATGCCAAGAACCACCCTGCTTGTCTCCAGGGTGCCCTGGGTTTCTTGGGTTTCGATGGTTCTGCAAAGGAAAGCGTGACGCTCCCACACCAAAAAAGCAATGAACGTCCTGGGGTTTCAGGGTTGGGTTTCTTGTGGAAGGTTCCTTGTGGTCGAACTCCTACTGTAGATGGGGTCGGAGGATCGCGCCGCATCGCCGATGCATCGCCGAAGCATAGGCGATGCATCGGCGGCGACGTCGGCGCCTTCGGCGTGGAGAACATCTGGCTCCACATCGACCCGCATCGCCAGTGCATCGGCGATTCGGCGCGATCCTCTAACCCCATCTTCCGAGCGACCCCATTTGGGAGGCCTGGAGGGATAGGGAAGGGGGGGATGAACTCTGCTGCACGCAGCTGGTTTCGCTTCTGCTGCCGCGCGCTTTCCTTGGTGCAATGACGCCCACGGCGCTGGAGAGATCAGCTACGTGAGCCGATTTGCCAGGTTCCCCTTTGCTTGCATCGCCGTGCCGAAAGCTTTCACCATTCGGGGTATGCTGACTGCGCTTCGGCGGAGTAGGAAGAGCAGTATCGTATCCGTGTGGAAGCGCATCCTGTGCGATGAGTTGTGCAATTCGGCGCGGAGTAGTTTCTGGATTTTTCGGCAACCACAATTAAAACCAATAGGGAACACAAGTACTCCGCAGAACGCCGCCAGCCGTATGTCATGTTAGGACTCTTGCATGGGAAGATCACGAAACTTTTGTCACGGCGGTGTATCTCCTCATCCGGTCGGTCCGATTCGACATTGATTTCGGCCGTCCCGTTCCGATCCGATTCGATCCTGATATTGCGACGATCCGATACGGCCCGACGCTCGCACGGCGTCGCTATGCATCCCGGCGCGGCCCATCCTTCGATTCGGTCCCGCCTCGGTGCCCGGCACGGTCCGACGCACGCTCCAATCCGATCCGATCCCCCGCTCCGATGCCGACCTGTCCTGCCCCCTCGCGCCCGCCCCGACGAGGAGGGCGGGGCCGTCGCCGCCCTGAACGGCGGCCAGCTGATCGTCTTCATCGCTGGCGGCGGGCTGCTCACCATGATCGGCTTCGCGTTCACCTGGCTCTCCGAGGGGCGGGGAGCGGCAGCAGAAGTCGGGCCTGGCCCTCTGCAGGGGGGACACTCAAAGACGGTAAAACACAGCCTGGGGACGATTTTTCTACTAGTTTGGATTATTTTTTGGGCATTTTTTTGTTTTTTGGTTTTGTTTTGTTTTGTTTCTATATATATACTGTATTGTGATTTTTTCGTCCAAGATCCCCCTGTAGGGGGACATGGCCGGCCTAACAGTAGCCTGGGGCCCACTCGCAGCGAGGGCGCGCCCTGCCCCAGGGAGGCTTCGCACCGGAAGAGGCAGGGGCGCAAGCCATCCCCAGGTTTCCGGCGATCTGTACCTCCTCCTCCTCCTCCTCCTCCTCCTGTTCCTCCTCCCCCTCCTCCTCCCCCTCCTCTTCCTCCTCCTCCTCCTCCTCCCCTCCTCCTCCCACTCCCCCTCCTCTCCTCCTCCCCCCTCCCTCTTCCTCCTCCCCATCTCTTCCTTCTCCCACCTTCTCCTCCTTCCTCCTCCTCCTCCACAATCCACCAATTTGAATACACTCTCCCTCTTCCCCTGATGGCGTGCTGGGAGTAGTAGACCCCCCCCCCTGGGTACTGTTTTTTACACACAGATTCCCGGGAGAGTGGAGTTGGGTTTTCCGCCTACTGCCCCGGTTTTTTTTTTTTTTTTTTTTTTTTTTTTGAGTTTTTTTTTTTTTTTTTTTTTTTTTTTTTTTTTTTTGGCCGCGTGCCTCGCTGAGGCGCCGCCTCATCCACCCCTCATTTCTGCTCCCGAATCGTTCCGAATCGTGCTCCCGCTGCAGCGTGGGCCTCATTTTCGGATCGGTGTTTGCCTCCGTCGTTCAGGATGGCGTTCTCGCCCCAGCGCGGGCCTCTTTCTCGCGCGCCCATCCGCCCGCCACCACCGCGCCGCACCACGCCCCGCCCCGCCGCACGCACACACACCGCCACTTCCACCCACCAACGCACGCACGCACGCACGCGCACCACCACCGCGCACCGCCACCACCACCGCACTACCCTACCCACCACCACCACGCTACACACACATACACACGCACACACACACACACACACACACACACACACGCACGCACGCACGCACGCACACACACACACACACACACACACACACAGACACACACACACACCACCACCGCCACCACCACCACCACCACCGCCATCACGCACGTACGCACCTGGCCCACCACAAACCACCAAGACGCCACACCACGTCACACCACAGCACACGCGCACACACGCACACACACATACACACCACCACCACAACAACCACAACCACGCACACACGCACGCACGCACGCGCACCACCACCCACTACGCACACGCGCGCGGAGCCACAGGTCCGCTACGACACGCGTCCGCGGATAGAGAAAATCAGCGCCATGGTAAGGGATGGGAGGGAGGGGTAGGATGTCAGATGTTGACGCGAGCGCACCTAACTCGTCCCCTCCCCCTCTCCCTCCTCCCCCTCCCTCTCCCCCCTCCCCCCCCTCCCTCTCCTCCCCGCCGCCCCCCGCCGCCGTGAGGCACCGCCGTGCCGTGGCCGCCGCCGCCGCCGCCCTGGAGAGCGCCGAGCGCCGTAGGGGCGGGCGGCGTGCCGAGAAGCCCGCGGCGCTCAGCAGCCCGACGTTGGTGCCCTGCGCGCGCGCGCAGCGAGGGACGCGCCGAGCGCTCCGCGCGCGTTCAGCACTGCGGTTGGGAGGAGGAGGAGGGCGGAGGGCGGAGGGCGGAGGGGGAGGGGGAGGGCGGAGGGCGGAGGGCGGAGGGGGAGGGGGAGGGCGGAGGAGGAGGGGGAGGGGGAGGGGGAGGAGGAGGAGGACGACGACGAGAACGAGAATGAGAACGATTGGGCGGAGGACGGACGCTGGGCGGCCTGGCGTCGGCGCAGGAGGACGCCCGCAAGCGCCCGCCGCCCCCTCGTGCTCCAGCCGCCGTGCCCCCCGGAGGGCGCGGGCCTGCGCGAGGCTTCACGCGTTTTTGCCTGTAGGACTGCAGGTGGGGATCGGCCGACCCTTCGGCGTGTGTGTGAGCCGCTGTCGTCGTCGTCGTCGTCGTCGTCGTCGTCGTCGTCATTGTCGTCGTCGTCGTCGTCGTCGTCGTCGTCGTCGTCGTCGTCGTCGTCGTCGTCGGTGGCGTCGTCGTCATCGTCGTCGCCAGTCCCAAGGAAATCTGGAACAAACACAGAAAATCAACGTCGTAGTTACGTAGCTGCCCTCCACTGTTTCCCCTCCTTGATCGGCGGTGGACAAACCTCCCTTTAGTAGACCTCCCCTCAACGAAAACGGCCTGGGACCGAAACCGACGGACCTGGACCCGCAAAAACGACGGCCGCGACGTCCTCTCGCGAACCGAAAACGGCCACTTCCTCGATCGACGTGTCAGGGCAGGAGGTCTATCCACCTCCGACTTGACGGGGGGGAAAAGAACAAACACAGAAAAGGAAATCCAGAACAAACACAAAAAAGCAACGTCGTAGTTGAGTAGCTTCCCTCCACTGTTTCCCCACCTTGACGGGGGGGGGAGGAGAGGCACCGGGGGCACGGTATGGGAGCACGGCACGGGGGGGTGGGTGGTCGGCAGGGTGTCCCGGGTCAGCTTGCCGCCCCCCGGAGTCCCGGCGGCCCCCCCTCCCCTCCCTGGCCCCCCTGGTGAACAAGGCGTACCATTAGGTCGGGCCTGTCCCCCCACAGGGGGGTTGTCGACGAAAAATAAGAAATACACCAAAAATAATCAAACAATAGTCCAAAAATGGTCTGGGGACTATGTTCTGAGTATTGTTTTGCTCTTTGGGGGGTATTTTGGGGGTATTTGTTTTTTTCCCCGTCGAAATTCCCCCTGTAGGGGGACAGGCCCGACATAATAAGGGTACCAGGAAGGGGGGTCGCCCCTGGGGGTCCGGGGGGAGGTCCCACCCTCAGGGTCGGCGGCACTGGCCGCAAGGCCTTCACACGAGGCATCACACGCCTCTTTCCGTATATGGCAGCAAGTGGTCGCAAAAAACGCGTGGTGTCTCATCCCGGCCTCAGCCAAGACAAGGAACACATCGGACAGGGATGCCTCGGAGAGGTGCCGCGGGCTCCTCCTCCGGAGTCGCTCCTTGACGCGCGGCCGAGGCCCAGCGAGGGCCCGCGGAGGCCGAGAACACGACCCCACACCGCCTGCCCGAATCTCTGTCGGAGCGTCAGATCTCTCTCTGGGGACTCTGCGGTCCGGCTGCCTCGGGCGCCGCGGCCTCCTCGGAGCGCCCCGGAGCGCCCTGGAGCGTCCCGCAGCCCCGCGCCCTGGCCGCCGCATGCGCCCGCCCGCCCGCCGCGCCCCCGCGGCGCTCCGGGTCTATAGGGCCCCCTCGCTCGCAGGGGATCGGGGGGGCGCGGCGGTCGGCGGTCGTGGGCCTCTGCTTCGGACGCCCGGAACTCGCCATCGCTCGGGCGTCCCTTTCCTGTGCATGTTTCGTTTTTTCGTGCGTGTTTTTTTTTGGCTCGAGGGTCCAGGATCGTCCTCAGTGGTTCTCGCCGAAGGACGAATGCACACGTCCGAGCGATGCCAGGGAAATGGGCACGGACAAAATGGGTGCAATGCCCAACAACAAATGTGGTCCAAGACCGACAGCGGCCGCTGTTGGACAGGAAGCTTCGTGTCTTCAGTGAGCGGCGTTCGCGGCGGCGCGGACAGCGGGTCCTCTTCAAAAGGAGCAGGAACTGCTGTTGGGCATCGTACCCATTCTTTCCGTACCCCTTTCGATCGTCCCGATCTGTGGGAGTCCCGAAGCGGTGCGGCGACAAGCCGTGCGGTGACCTCGAACCCCCTCCCCGGACCTCACTAACCCCAGACCCCCTCGAGCCATGACAAAAATCACGATGGGAGGTTCTTCGCTGCTTTCGGCCTCCGGGAGCCCTTCCTGGGCATCGGGACCGTCAAAAAACGATGCAGGATGAAAAACCGGTCCCCCAGGAAGGGGTCCAGACCTCTGGGGGTCGACGTGTCGACAAAAATCACAACGTCGGGGGTCTGGGAACCTCCCAGGCTCTGGAAGGTTTTTGAATGGGCCAGACACTCGGGGCCCAACCATGGGACACACGATGGGGAGGCGACCATCTTCGATGAGGTGTGCGTCCGGATGCAGCCCCCTTGGGATGTATCCCAAAGTTCTCCCCTTGTTCTGAACGGCCAAACTCTTCAAGCGGAGCTCGGGGATTGTGGGCAGCGGGGAGCAGCGGTGCGGGGGGCGCCCGCGCCCGGACCCCTGGAGGGCGGTCGGGCTCGCTGGAAAAGCAAATGTGCAAGAATCCCTCGACGTGGTGAAATCAGAAATGGCCTGGGGCCCGTAAGTGACGCACATGAGCGGAGCTCGGGGATTTGGGGGGGAAGAACCGCCCGCGACCCCCCGCACGGGCCCTCGCCGCACGGCCGTCGGAGCCCGAAGGCCCCGCAGTGGCCCGAGGCATCCTCGGAGCACGGCCCGAGTCCCGAGGCCGTGCGGTCACCCCGAATGCCCCCCCCCCTGGCTCACCCATCATTGAAAGGACCCCAGGACACACAAAGGAATACACACAAGTCAAAAGATTCCCCACACTCTCCCATATATTTTCTGGGTTTTTGTCTTCCCCCCCACTTCCCACATTTTCCCACACTTTCTGGGGGATCGACGATTCATTGTGTCTGTGTGTTTTTGTTCCCTCCTGAACCATGTACGTGCGGTGTGGCCACTGCAGCGTTCTGGTGCCCCCAAGCCTCTGGAGGCCTGCTCCGGGCCCCCCGGGGGCATCGGGAGCCGGCCTGGGATGAGCAGCTCGTCTCGGGTCGGGCATGTCCTCCTGCGGGCGAGCTCGTTCCGAACAAAACAGAATCCCAGAGTGATCAAAACTGGTAGACAAATAATCGACAAATCGCCCCCAGACGATGTCATGTACTATTTTGGAGTGCTCCTCATGTAGAGGGACGTGCTCGACTGAAAGCTTGTCCCCTGAGATGGGGCGTTCGGGCGCGCGAGTCGCCAGCAGATCGGACGTCCGGGCAGCCCCGAGAGAGGAGCATTCACCCAATTGGTCTCTCTCGACCTCATCTTTCGCACTCACCTTACGCGGTGTGCTCTCATGTCTCGCGGACCCCCCTGGGCCCCAAGACAGTCCCCTGGAGGCCCGAGGTGCCATGAGATGTCACCCCTGACTCTTGATTGTTCTGCACTTCTTTGTTTCTCTCAAAACCCGGCGGCGATCGGCGGACAAGCATGGCGAGTCCGCAGTGCTGGCCGCAGCGACGGCTCACAGAAGCAAACCGAGGCGCACCCTCGCCTAGCACGTACAGTCTCGCACGCAGAAGCTGATCGCATGGCTCGTGCCAGCCCTGCTGACGCGATGCGGCCTCAACCGCCACCAGGGAGAAGCATTGCGCCTCCGATATCCCGAAGCGGGGCCGCGCCAGCCAGCCCCCCTGTACGACAGGCCCCGCCTTTGGCCTTCGATTGCGACAGGCGCAAGCGGAGAATCAGAGGGGAAGGAGGAAGGAGGAGGAAGAGGAGGAGAGGAGGGCAGAGGACGAGGAGGAGGAGCTCCCCTGCAAACGTGCCTCTCACTGAGCCAGAAGGAGCCTCGAGGTGAGTCTTGTCTCGAGCAGGGGGCATCCGCGCGAGTCAAAGAATTATGTGCCCGGCTCGATCCCCCTCTCCCGCAGCCACTTAGCAAACTCTACCATAGTCGGGATGGGGTCCTCTTTCGACTCCATGAACGTCACCACCCACTGGCAGTAACGTTTATCCATTACCAAGGCCTCCTCGTAGGTCAGATGCTTGTGTTTTCCGAAGCCTACCTTGGGATTTGAGTCCCCGCTGGGCTCCACAGCGGGCAGCCAGCCACTCGGGTCGCTTGCGGACCCCTGGTCGAAGCCATTGGCGGGAGCGCCGCCGCCAGCGGACGGAACGTTCTGCTCCAGCCAATGAGCAAAATCATCCATGAGCATCGGGGTGGCGTCGGAGCTCTTGCTTTCTCGCATGACCCAGTCACAATACTGAGGATCCTGACTCAAAGCCTCCTGGTAGGTTAAGTCCCTGTGCTTTCCGAAACCGACGAGGCGCTGGCCCGCGTCCCCGCTGGGCTCCACAGCGGGCAGCCAGCCACTCGGGTCGCTTGAAGACCCCAGGTCGAAGCCATTGGCGGGAGCGCCACCGCCAGCGGACGGAACGTTCTGCTCCAGCCAATGGACAAAATCCATGACCATCGGGGAGGCGTCGGAGCTCTTGCTTTCTCGCATGACCCAGTCACAATAGTTAGGATCCTGACTCAAAGCCTCCTGGTAGGTTAAGTCCCTGTGCTTTCCGAAGCCGACGAGGCGCTGGCCAGAACCTGTATCGTGGCCACCGCTTTGATAGGGCTGCCCTCCGGTTGCGCTGCCCAGACTATCCCACGAGCTCAACAGTTCAGGTGATCCATGGGGGCCGCCTTCGTGCGCCCCTGCCCCGGTGTCGCTGCCGACGCTGTCCCACATGGCCAGCACGTCCTGCTCGGAGCCGCCGCTGCCGCCTTCGTGCGCCCCTGCCCCGGTGTCGCTGCCGACGCTGTCCCACATGGCCAGCACGTCCTGCTCGGAGCCGCCGCTGCCGCCTTCGTGCGCCCCTGCCCCGGTGTCGCTGCCGACGCTGTCCCACATGGCCAGCACGTCCTGCTCGGAGCCGCCGCTGCCGCCTTCGTGCGCCCCTGCCCCGGTGTCGCTGCCGACGCTGTCCCACATGGCCAGCACGTCCTGCTCGGAGCCGCCGCTGCCGCCTTCGTGCGCCCCTGCCCCGGTGTCGCTGCCGACGCTGTCCCACATGGCCAGCACGTCCTGCTCGGAGCCGCCGCTGCCGCCTTCGTGCGCCCCTGCCCCGGTGTCGCTGCCGACGCTGTCCCACATGGCCAGCACGTCCTGCTCGGAGCCGCCGCTGCCGCCTTCGTGCGCCCCTGCCCCGGTGTCGCTGCCGACGCTGTCCCACATGGCCAGCACGTCCTGCTCGGA